ACACTTGTCCATTAGATGATGCTCCTACTCACAACAATTTATGATAGGCGAGAGGGACTTACTCTGAATCCTCTTTTACACAAGGACACACAACTCTGTTTTACTTATTTCATTTTTCGTGTCATTTACTTTTTAGAGCTTTTTAATTACTGTCTGTTTTTTCTGTTTTCCTCCTGTGATCTACTTTAAAATACTGAGAAGACACTGGCAAACTAAACATTTGAAGTACCATACTCATGATTTCCTTGTTTTAGTCATATACACTTTAATGCTGATCATTTTGAAAGCTCAATAATTAACATGTTATATCTTGTTTGTTTAATCCATACAAAAACTGAAGTGTAGAAAGCCACTCTTCATTCTTCACTTTATATTGTACAGAAACATAAGGATACCATTGACTGTAAAGTGAGAAATCGATCTTCATGGAACTTCAGACTTCACAATAGGTTAACAGTCCTACTACTGATACCTACTGGATTTGCAATTTTGCACATTTGCACACAGATGAAACATTGATTTGATTTGGTGCTTCTTGTTGCAGGAATTCAATGCAGAGACCTTTAAGTCACCTGATGGACAGATCAGCATTTCACGTGGCACATTTGTTGCATTCCACTCTAAACCGGCCGTGTGTGCTTCTCCTTCACATTTTAAAACATAATTGAAAAATCACCTGACTGTGCACCCTCAAACAATGCCCTAGTGAATTTGTTATTATGAATGCCATTTTAATGACTTTCAAGAATGTGATGAGCAAAGGTGGAAATTTTTTTCTCTCTGCCATACGTACCGATTACAACCAAATGCAGCTCATCTAGATGTCATTGGAGCTTGTTATGTGAACAAAGATCCTTCATTCACTACAGTTCATAGTGTTTGTAGCAAACATGTAACTCAGAGAGTGTAATAGACTGATGCATTCAGTAAAATCATATTCACAGTTCACACAATTGAAACATGTAAAAGGCTGGAATTAGTAATGTTTAGACAAACAGGGTAAAAGTTAAGTAATGCTACAATCTTCTGTTGTGTCGTCTTGTTTTCCAAGGACAGAGGACTTCTAATGTGTCTACCAGATGATATTTAATGAAGGCACAGATCAATAGATGCAGAAAAAGAGAGATATAAACCACACACTCCAAGCGGGGCCATTTTCCATCCAAGTAAATCGTGTCAGTCATTCTCATACACCGACATACACACATGTCTAACAGGAGGTAGGACAGTGTATCCAGATGGCAGAACAAAGCCTGAGGTCAGTTTTAATGAGCAGAGCTAATTACCACATGACTGTCCTATCTGTCCACTCTCAGTGGACTGCTGGCCTTTAACAGGGTACACAACAGGAAGTAAAGACAGGAAAACCTCACACCCTACAACTGCTACACACACACATGCTGGGACACACACAGATAGTAGTCACCTCTAAACCCCCGCAAGTAAGTGCATCTTTATTTATATAGCAATAGCAAAAACTGCTTCAAAAGGCGCAAATAAAAACATACATTGATCATTAATATAAAATACATTTGAGAAAAGAGACTGTTCCATAACCTGGGGTCAGTACAGCAAAAACTTGGTCACCACAGGTTCTGAACTTTGAGCATTGCACAACCAGAAGCTCTTGTTGTGAACCTGTTTTAATGTTCGGGCTGATCGGTGTATATCCTTGGCCTGTTTTGACAGAGTTCATTCTGAACCATCAGTAATGTGATTTGAAACTTATTTTGTAGTTTAAATTATTTTCCACAGCTTCATGGATTGACAAAGTCAAAATACACACTGTTCAGCCACAACATTGAAACAGGTTTTTTTTAATGTAGACAGTGGACTCACACATTCAACTCATTGCTGTAATAGAAGATACAGGGCTCTCACCTGCAGTTCGCTACCTGTGGGTTGTAAGCGAGTTAGCTGGAGATGCTAACATTTGCAGTTTATGTTGGAGCAGACAAATACAATCAAACATTTCTGCTCATGTGGTTGTGGTCTTGGATAGGCCTAGTGTCACTTTCATTAGAGCCCCTTATAAACCTGTTCACTTCAGTGTAATTGGATAATTTCTGTTTTGGAGAGTAGTTTAGCATTTTTGACCCCTCTTATGCGTAGTTCCCTAGGTCACTCACAAAACTCTACAGCCACAGACGTTCTGTCTCCTTACTATCAGCTTGTATCTCAGTCTCATTGTTTTGATGTCTACAAGTGTTTGACTATCTGGCAATTGAATTCCTGCAACAAACCAGACCTCACAAAAACACACAGAGACACACACACACACATAGACTCAAGCATAAACACACAAGCATGTGCCTGTCAGTGCAACACACACACTCCTTGCTGCTTACTACTGTGTTTGTCTGTGTTCAGACAGGCAGGAAGGAAAAGCCATTAGTCACTGAGGTGCCATCAAGCACAGTTTAATTGTCTCATTTATCTTCCCTCTGCTGCTGAACTCCATGCTGCTGCTCAGATTCAACGGGGAGCCCTCGGGAGCAGAACGCTCCGCCAAATATAAGTATATAATCATTTGTTGCAGTAGATGGGACTGTATCTTCTGATGTAAATGTGTGTGATAGAAGCTGAGAAGTGGTCAGCCACTCGTCGGTTACATTGCAACGTTAGTTTGAGATGTGTTATGTTGAAGATGTGTGTGGACCCAGCTCAAAATCTCTAATCTGCTTTGAGCTAAATGGTAAAGTCAGTCATTAAGTATAATGTTCACCATCTTAGTTTAGCATGTTAGCATGCCAACATTTGGTA